ATAAGTATCATCAAAACACGTCTAACCAACAATCTCTGGAGACAGCTTTGAAGAATGCCAAAAAGGCTCTTGATGGAATTAAGGTGATAAAGGCAAAAGATGATGCCGAATTGCCTACTCTGCGCAAGAAAGTTGAAAACATGAAAAATCTGGAAGAGGAGATAAAAGATCTTAAATCTCAGCTTGAAGATAAGAACGCTGTAAAGGATCAACTTTCCATTGCACAGAGTGATCTTTCTAAGGCTAAAACAACAATCAGCAGCTTAGAAGGTCAGCTGCAAAAAATAGAGGCCGATAAACCTGGTATACGGCAAAGAGCGGTTAGCCGTTATTTGTCATCGGCTGAGTTTTGTAGTAAATTACAAGATCGTTTTGATGGTGGTTGGACTGCTGCTCAGAGGTGTGCTGCTCATGCTATCGGCCTAAAACAAGAAGACTGGGCTAAAATTGAAGCAGCATTTAATAATGATGCTCACAAGACACCTTCTGGTTTTGAGCAACAAGAGTTCTCAGACGCAGATATCTTTAACCTTGCTCCTTCTGATGATATCGGTGTTTCCGATCTTAAGATTTTGGATTCTCCGGAACCCGAAAACAAAACAGCTTAAAGGGGCGGGCAGCCATCACCATCATCATCTTGTGGCTCTTGTATTATCGGGCCTTACTCATTGTAATTTCTTTTTTGATTAAGTACTTTTTAGAAAACTTTCTTTTGACAATGTTGTTTTATCGGCATATACCCTTTTGCGGTGATGTCTGTCGATCTCTATTTTAGCTTTGCCAAAGAATTGCTTCCTTCACGATGTTATGTTTGTATACCTGTTATGTGATTCTCGTAAACACTATAATTGTGTTAGTTTTAACTTCTATTTAATTTCTATTGCTTTTAATCACTCATTTCGGAATCAATTTACTTTAAATAATTCGTCCATTATACTTACAAGTATAATGATACCGACATAGCCCCCCATTAAAGCTGTAATATCAGGTTTATATCGGGCATAGTATAGCCCCTCATTCTTCCCCGCATAGTGCAGACATCATTTTCATGATGTATGTACTTTCACAATTTTTTTTATACATACGGCGGTAGTTTTTTTTATAACTCATTGGTCACTTGTGCAACTATATAATAGTTTCGCAAGTACCCTTATCGGCTATCATGTTCTAGCTGCGCCTCATATCGGCGCATACTATATAGTGATTTGGCCGGGATATTATATTGAACCAACAACCTCGTGATTTAACGAACACAACTGATCAGGTTGTGAGAGCGTTATCATCACGGAAGTGGTTTTTAGCTGTCCATCCCAATTAACGGTGATCTGTTAATTGGAGGATGCCTTTATACTCAAATTGTAGAGTAGATCATTGCATCTGATTTTATTTATCACTATTATCATACAAAATACTTCGATTGTACTTTTATATTATACATAATATTTCTTAAGAACTGTAGTATTCCAGACATTCTTCAGCGGCTTTCCGTCTTCAGTTTCCAGATAAAATGATCCTTGCATAACCATGTCTCTTATTCGATATGGACCTTCCCAGGTAGCCGTTAACTTTCCATCTTCATTACCCTTTCCTGTTGCTGATGTTCGTCTCAATACTAAATCCCCGACCTCTAATGGCCGGTGATTAACCTTCTTATTATAAGCTCTTAACATTTTGTTTTTGTATGCGGCCGATTTAACTGCCGCTTTTTCCCTTATTTCTGGCAAAAAGTCTAATTGTTGCCGCAATAGTAGATCATTTTTCTCTTCACAGTAATGCTGTATTCTGAATGTCGGCAAACCGACCTCGGCTGGTATAACGGCTTCTGTTCCGAAAACTAAGTGGAAAGGGGATTCTGTTGTGGCTTCTTTAACTGTTGTTCTATTTTCCCATAAGATCTCTGGAATCAAATCTGCCCATAACCCTTTGGCATCTTCGATATTTTTCTTTATTGCCATTACTATCTGCTTATTAGCTGCTTCTGCCTGGTCGTTCGATTGTGGATGACAAATTGCCGCATATGCAAATTTGACTTTTTAAATTGTTAACAAAGTTTTTACGGGCTTGCAGTCAAACTGTGATCCGTGATCAAAAACCATTGCTCTCGGAAGCCAAATCTTGAAAAGATATTTTTCCAAATGAACTTTCTAACTTCTGCTGCCGATATTGTTGTTACCGGTTCTGCTTCGATCCATTTGGTGAAGTAATCTACACCCACCAGTAGGAACTTTCGATTTCCAGTTGCTGACGGAAAGGGACCAACTATATCCATCCCCCACTGCGCAAACGGCACTGGATTTAATATCGGCGTCAAATCATTTGGTGGCCGGTTCAGAATAGGTGCAAACTTTTGACATTTTTCACACCTTTTAACATAATCGGAAGCATCTTCATTCATTGCTGGCCAATAATATCCTCGTCTCATTATTTCTCTTGAAAGAGCTCGTCCTCCTAGGTGATTTCCGCAAGTTCCTTCATGAATCTCTTCTATTAGCTTTGTAGATTCCTCTGCTGTTATACACCTTTGTAATGGGAACGAGAACCCTCTTTTATAAAGTTGGCCCTGGTACAGTATGAGCCATACACTATTTTTTTTATTTTCCGAGCTTCTTCTTTCTCTATCGGCAAAGCCCCTGTCAGTAAGTATGTTAGAATTTTGTCATACCATTGCTCCCCCAGCTGAATACATTGAACTTCCTTTGCCGATCGTCTATACTTCTCAGTTTCAGAACTTCTACCATAACAGTTCTTTCCAAATCATTAAAACTTGAACTGGCTAGCCTTGCTAGAGCATCAGCCTAGGAATTTTGTGCTCTCGGCACCAATTGAACTTCAAAATGTTGCAGCTGAGCTGTAAGCTCATTTATTTTTTCCAGATACTTTATCATCGCCAATTCTCTTGCTTCATACTCCCCACGAAACTGACTAGAAACCAATTGTGAGTCGGTTTTGAGGACTAACCTCTTTGCTTCTGCCGCTATAGAGAGTTGAATACCCGCAATTGCTGCCTCGTATTCAGCTTCATTATTTGTAGCTGTGAATTTAAACTTTAAAGCATACTCAAAAACCTCTCCATTAGGGGTTGTTATCACAATACCGGCTCCAGATCCCATTGAGGTTGCTGAGCCATCTACTGATACCTGCCATGTTCCCAATTCTTCCTCTTCATCATTATAAGAGATTTCTACAACAAAATCTGATAGGGCTTGTGCTTTTATTGACATCCTGGGTTTGTAATACAGCTCGTATTCCGATAATTCTACAGCCCACTTCAATAACCTTCCCGATGTATCCATTTTCTGCAATGATTTTTCCAATGGATGATTTGTAAGAATTTCTATTGGATGTGCATCAAAATAAGGTCGTAATTTTCTAGCAGCAATTACGACAACAAAGGCCATTTTTTCAATCACTGGATATCGTCGCTCAGCAGCATTAAGGACATGACTGACAAAGTATATCGGCATTTGCTGTTTGGTCCTCTCAACTATCAGGACTGAGGCCACTGTTTTTGGCGATGCCGATATATATAATTGTAAGTATTCTCCCGGCTCTGGTCGTGCAACTGTTGGGAGAGACTTCAAATGGTTTCTTACCACCTCTAGAGCATCAGCTTGATCTTTCCCCCATTCAAATGTCTTGTTTTGCCGTAAAACTACAAAAAACGAAAGTGCTTTATCTGCCGATTTGCTGATGAAGTGCATCAAGGCTGCCATTCTTCCTGTCAATCTCTGAATGTCTCGAATTGATTTAGGTTGTTTCATTTCGAGAAGAGCGTTAATATTATCTGGATTTGCATCAATACCTCGCTCGCTAACCATAAATCCTAAGAACTTTCCAGATCGGACTCCGAAAACACATTTTTCTGGATTGAGCTTTATCTGATATTGCCGCAAAGTTGCAAAGGTCTCCTTTAAATCCTCTATGTGATCTTTTTTCAGCTTGGTTTTTACTATTGTATCATCTACATATACTTCAACATTTCGGCCCTTCTGATTTGCAAAAATTTTATCAACCAGCTTTTGATATGTCGCACCAGCATTCTTCAGCCCAAACGGCATTGCCTTGTAGCAGTATACCCCGGCATCTGTTATAAAAGCCGTTTTAGGCCTATCCGCTTCATTAAGGCTAACCTGATGACATCCAGAAAATGCATCTAAGAAGTTTAGCATTTCATGGCCAAAAGTCGAGTCTCCCAACCTGTCTATCCGAGGTAACGGATAACAGTCCTTAGGGCAAGCTTTATTCAGATCCGTAAAATCCACGCACATCCGCCATTTTCCGGTTGGCTTTAAAACCATTACAACATTTGCCAACCATTCTGGATAAGTACAGGGTTCTATAAATCCTGCCGCTAACAGCTTGTTGACTTCAGCTTGAATGGCTTCAATTTTTTCTGTGGAGAAGTTGCGCTTCTTCTGCCTTACCGGTCTGAACCTTCGGTCAACATTGAGCTTATGCTCCATCACTTCTGGGTGTATGCCTGGCATATCACTTGCCGAGAAGGCGAATACATCCGCATTTTCTCTCAACAAGCTGATTAGATTGCACCTCATTTCAACGTCCATATCAGCCCCCACCTTAACTGTCTGACTTGAATTTCTTGGTCGGAGCTCTACTTGCACTGTTTCACCTCCTAGCGATGGTCTCGGCATAGTTTCCGGCCTAGAATCAAAATTTTCCATCGACAAATCTCGCACTGTTGGTTCTCTAGCCCGCTTAGGGTTGTTTGGTACTTCTCCTTTCTGCCCCGGATTTTTTAACGCCGTGACATAGCATGACTTTGCCATCACCTGTCCCCCATGTACCTTTTCCACAACCCCTCTATTTGACATATAAGCAATAGTTAAATGATAAGTTGATACTACTGCCTGTATGTCATGAATTATCGGCCTTCCCACAATTGCATTATACGCCGACGGTATATCCACTACTAAAAATTCAGCCATCGCATCTCTTGCTGTTGTACCGTCTCCGAGCCTAATAGGGAGAACTATACTTCCTTATGGCCTCATTGTTGAACCGTTAAACCCAATCACCGGACATGATACCGGCGTTAAATATTGTCGGCCTATCATCAACTCATTGAAGGCTTGCATAAACAGAACATTTGCTGAGCTTCCTCCATCAACTAGAACCCTTTTCACATCGGCCCCATTAATCTTTGCTATTAATACAAGGGGATCATCATGAGGAAACACTATTCCTTTTGCATCTTCTTTGGTGAAGGTTACATTCGGAATTTCAGACGGCTGTGGGCGATCAGCAACATCTAATGCATTAACAATATGCCGATACTCCGACAGGTGCTTCCGTGCTCCACTTATGGTTCCTCCATGAACTGGTCCACCAGTTATTACATCAACTCTTTTTCCAGTAGATGACGGTGGTTGTCCGCCTTCCCCCTGTTGGTTCACTTGACCTTGTCTTTCTGGCCGGTATTCTATCTGCTGGCGTTCTGGTTGCCTATATTGTTGTTGCTGACTTTCCCCAGATTGCAACCGATATTGCGTAAGGTGCCCCCTTCTTATTAATTCTTAGATATTATCCTTCAACTGTACACAGTCCTCAGTGTAATGCCCTACATCCCGGTGGAACATGCAATACTTCTTGGTATCCCTTCCTTTTGCTTTCATCGGCACAGGTCTCACCCATCCTTCTCGGTTCTGATTTATAGAATATATTGCAGCCCTTGGTGCATTTAGAGGCGTATACGAATTATATCGCATTGGTGCTTTGGTTCCTCTGACCTCTTGGCGGCTTCCTCCTCTTGCTGCCGTTGGGTTCCTTGACCTTACAACCCCTGAAGATCCCCCTTCCGACATAGGGTGAATTCTATCAGTAGAACTTATTCGGCTGCTTGTCTTCATTAATTCTTCACTCTTAATATAATTATGAGCTTTATTAAAAGCTGCGGCTAATGTTGGCTGATTTTTTCGAGTTAGGTATCTCTTGAATTCCGAATCATTCAGACCGTTCATTAGTGCCATGACTGCTATCTCGTGCTGCAATCTTGGAATTGTATTGGCTTCATTATTAAACCTCCTTATGTAATCCCTTAAAGATTCATCTGCTTTCTGAGTAACAGCCATTAACTCTCCAGAAGTTCTCTGCCGAACACTATTACTGACATACTGCCCTACGAACATTTCGGCTAACTGCTGAAAACTGTGAACTGCTCCATTTTCAAGATTATTAAACCAATCGGCTGCTGCTCCAACCAAAGTAGTGGGAAACACCTTACACCAAACGGCATCAGAGTTGGTGTATAAAATCATGTGACCCTCATACGAGGTTATGTATCTTCTTGGATCTCCCCTACCCTCATACCGACATGTCGGCATTTTGATTTTCTCCATTGGTTGATCAAGGATGCTTTGTGCAAATGGTGATGCCCTCAACTGAACTACTCTTCGCTTCGCTCCTTGCTGGTAAGTTCCCGTACTCTCGTCCTGAGCTGAGGATCGAACCTCTGATTCCCTAGGGGTTTGCCGGGATCTTGTCGGCGACCCATCATTCCGGCGTCTTTGCGAACTTCCAGCCTGGTCAAATTGATTGCCATGAGCTGTAAAAGGCATCCCTCCTCCATCTTGGGTTGCCCCTATTTCTTTTCTTTTTCTGCTCATAGCTGTCATTACCCTTGCAGCTGTTGCCAACTCTTCTGATGTAAACCCTGCCATAGGGTCTATATCTGTCCTAGCCTGCCTTTCAGGGGTTAACGGCATATGAAATTCATTACCCCCCAATGTATGAGTCTCATCCTCGATCTGAATTTCTGGATCAGGCATATTTTATATTATATATATATATATATATATATATATATATATATATTTATCGGAAAGTATAAGGCTCTTCAGGCGATAGAAGCTATTAAGTAGCACCCCTCCTTCTAGCGCCAACTGTTTCTGCAGAATTCCGATAACCCGAATTCAAGATCCGAAGCTCGAGTATATAACCCGTTCTGCTCCTATCGGCCAAATAAGAACCTACACAAAGAGAAGAGATGAGCTAGCCCCGGGGTGAATCCGGGGATAACCACTCCAAAGATTAAATCAGTAAGTGTTTATAGAAGAGAAGTGATTTAGAGAGAGAAAGTAGTGAAAGAGAGAGAGAGAGAAAGTGTAATAAAATGTTACCCTGTTTATGAAGTAAAATCGGATTATTTATATGTTTACTAGGTGACAGATGGCAGTCTAATAAGTAATGTAATTTCTGCCACGTGTCAATTGTGAGCGCGACACGTGGCAGCTACCTATACGCTGATATGTCTACTTTATAGGAACGCCGATATTAACAAAGGTCATTTATGGATCGAATTCAAACAGTATGTCGGTATGTCCAACCATATCGGCCCATTATGATTTCCGTTATGTAGACATTTCCCCATACAACTAATATCGGCCCATTATGATTTCCGTTATGTAGATATTTCCCCATACACCATGTATTAATGAGAAATTGTAAAACTATTGGATATTCTCTGTTATATAAATCTTTGTATAATGCATGCATGGCGGTATGCATGACATACACTGCATTATATACTTTATACGTATTATTAATGAAGCTGGCAAACATTGTCTAATTTGTGGTTAAAATTGTGTTGTGTATGTATTTGTGTTCAAATATATATATGGATATTTTAATGAATATTGTATTATTTTAATAAATGATAAATAATATAATCGGTTTATTTTTCTTATTATAAAATGGACTTGTCAAAAACTTATGTTGTACGCTAAATTATCAAAGTTGCAACTGTCTAAAAAAGTACATTTAGGCGCATAGGGCCTATGTATTTGACATGTATATAGGAGAGTAAAGGTAAAATACACTCCAAAAACTTTCGTATTTGTGCACTTTTAGTTCCTGTCAACTTTTTTGTACACTTTTGGTCCCTCCTCCACCACTTTAGGTATTTTCTAGGCAAAAGTTTAGGGACTAAGCCTAGTCACCAATAGTTTAGAGACCATGATTCATTATATTATTTTGATTTAAAAAAATTTTATATCAAAATTTTATTTAACACCCCCATTAATAATAATAAATAAATAAAAACAAAAAGAAAAATTCCTTTATTTTTCTTTAATTAAAAAAAAAAACTCTATTCTTATTTAAAAATTATAAAAATAAAAAAGCCATGTAACCACCATTGCTGCAACTCAATACCCACCCCACCGCAACTACCACCATTGCTGCTAATCAATCCCCACCGCAAGTTCGGCTCGGCTCGAAGCTCGACTCAAGCTCGTATGTTTTTAGTAGTTTTATGCTTGCGTCAAGCTCGTGAATTTATGAGTGTTTGACGGCTATGTGTGAAGCTGCGCTAGTTTGAGCATATACGGAGTGTTTGACGATTATCGCTGCCTGACGGTGGAACCGATTGAGTTAATTGAGTTTTGATGGGTTATGGGTATGCTGTGAAATTGTGCTTGTTTGAGTATTGAGTGTTGACGGCTATGCTTGAAGAAAGAGATGTAGTTAGGAACTTAGGGTTAAAAGTTAAAACAAACAATTAGGCTGAAAAGCCTGTAAACCACTAAGCACCACTAAAAATCCCATAGGTATTTAATATGTATATTTCATTTTAAAATTATTTAAAGTAATTTATTTATATTTTAAAAATTTGTATTTTTAAATATATATATTTTAATCGAGCCTATTCACAAGCTTTTCAAGCCGAGCTTTAATTTGCTCAGCTTGGCTCTTCAAGGTTCCGAGCCGATCTCAAACTCGAGTCGAGCCTCGTCGAGCTGGCTTTGAGCGAGCTTTGACCGAACTGAGCTCGAATAGTTCACGAATAGCTCAGTCTCATTATCATCCCTAAGTAGAAGCCATGAAAAGATAAAGCTTAATTTTATTATTACTGTCAATTTTTTTTTAATATAAAGAAAAGTATTATTTTTAATTACTTTTGATTTATACTTAAAGCTGATTTTAAAAATAATGCTGTAAAAAAAAGAGTAAAAATGACAAGTAATTAAAAGATTCTTTTTTAATAAATTCTGAAGAAAAAAAAAAGAAAAACAAAAAAAAATATAAGTCATGGTCCCTAAACTATTGATGACTCAACATCCCTAAACTATTTTGCTGACTCATAGTCCCTAAACTAATGCTTAGTCAACATAGTCCCTAAACTCTTGCCTAGAAAACACCTAAAGTGGTGGAGGAGGGACCAAAAGTGCACAAAAAAGTTGACAAGGACTAAAAGTGCACAAATACGAAAGTTTAGGGATTGTATTTTACCTTTACTCGCATATAGGAGGGCAATCTAGGGTTTAATGGTACATTTTCTCTCTCTTAATGGTACAGTGGTACATTTTTGTACTACTATGCATGTATAACGTATCATTAACGTAGTTGTCTGAATATTACTTTTGTGTAATATTATGCATGTGCTCATACTTTTTGCCATCATATTTTCCACAATCAGATTCCCATTATTTACAAAAATGTCATCCTATTTGCATGCTAAATACATAAGGTATATGCAGCAATACTTCTCCCTATAAGGAACATGTGATATGGATAAATGATGCCATGGTGGAAGTAGAAGTACAAGAGCTAGCTTAGCAGCCTAGCATGGAATCCTTTTTATTTACGAAAAAAAAATATGTGCAGCCTTTTATCTCTTCGAAATTAATAGTCACATATATACGTAATACATATAGTATTTGATCTTAGTAAATTTGTTAAGATCTCACCAAATGGATTAGATAAATGAGACAAATAAAACACATAATGTAATTTTAGTGACTATATATGTTTTGTTACTTTTGTAGAATAATACCTGCATATTTCTTAAGCGACCAATAGCGTATGTTCTTAAATATGTGGGTTAGGAATTAGAATACTTTATAATTAATTTCGAAACATAAAAATTGTCCTCGTCCATTGAAGCTTTTATTTGCACTCTTCTAATTAATAATTATTTATTGTTTTTGCAGCCTGGTACTCAATTTGTTAAAAAAAATGTTAACTTGAATAATTTTACTTTGCTTTACCTATTTTTTCTACCCTTTAAAAAAAAACAACCTATTTTTCTAGAGTAAACAAATTTTAGTTGAATTTTGGGAGAAAAATTAACAACTTAATTTTGTGAAAACTTACTTCTTAACTAAACCAAAAAAATTAAAAAGTTGAGGACTAGAACAAATATGCAGCTTAAATGCAATCCATTATAGTTAAGGTCCCGATCACTTCACCTTATTTTGGCTGAATTGAAATTATTTTTACTGAAATGAAATTATTTTTGCTGAAGTTAAATTATTTTTAATGAACTGAAATTAAGTTTACAGAACTAAAATTATTTCTTCTTTAAAGTTATTGATTTTTACTGAACTGAAATTATTTTTACTGAATTGAAACTTATTTTTACATAATTGAAATTATTTGTTGGACTGAAATTATTTTTACTGATCCAAATTAGCAAAGGTATTAAATTTTTTATTTTAATAAAAATAATTTCATTTCAAAAAGACTAAGTTAAATTTAGTGAAAATAAGCTTTAATCAGACAAAATATATGTACATATACTTCTTGGCATGTACTTAGGGCCTGTTCTCATTGACTGAACTCAGCTGAACTGAACTGAGCTGAACTGAATTGAGCTAAACTGAACTGAACTGAACTGAACTGAACTGAACTGAACTGAACTGAGCTGAACTGAACTGAATTGAACTGAAATGAAATGAATATTTTATAAGAGAAGGAAATTAGGAGCTAAACTGAACTGAACTGAATTTCAACGTAAGAGAACAGACCCTTAATTTAAGGATGATCCAAGATTATGTAAACCGACCAACAAATTCAATGAAATTATTTAACCGCTGATAAGTAGAAAGTGTTAAGTTAATTGATATGATTGTAATTTTATAATTTTCGTTTGGTATCATTTTCTAATCATTTCCTCAAATAGCATGTCAAAAAATTATGTTGTAACTTAGCTTGTATGTATTAAAAACTCTAAGTATTTATAACTGTATATAGAGAATCTATCAAATAATTAAGTTTCAAAACAACAAAAAATAATTAAATTTCGGTAAAAATAATATGCGTTAAACAAAAATAACCTAAGTTCATAGAATATATATCAAGTGAAGAGCACAAGACCGAAGTATTGTGAAACAGATTGAGTTATTTGAGTATAGAGTGATGAGTATGTGATCATAATATTCATAAGGAAACAAAACAAAGAGGATAAAGGAGGCATACATAGTGTACAAGTAATTGAAGGATTAGTGTGATTCCTTCCACAATTGTTCAATTGTTAGCTGGTGCTTGGTGGCCCTATAATATAATCAACTATACATTGATATTGTTTAAGCTTCCAATTATTGTTGTCTACTTTTTTGAGAAGCAATTTTTCCATGTTTAGCAAATCAATTATAAACTTGTCACGTTTAAAGGTTAATAATTATTATTGGGGACGAAGAATCCCATTGATAGTTTTAGGTTAATTAGTCCACACGTTAATTCACATCACATAATTTCTTGATGAAGTGAACTAAACAACTATATTAGGTCTCCATGTACTATATTCACTATTCAGCATGTCACTATATGTTAATTGATTAATTAGGTGACACTTCTAATTAATAATTTGAGTATGTATTTTTTTGTTTACAAAAGTATCCACTAATTAAATATCTTTCAGATGAGATAATTATTTAATAAATAATCATACACTTAAGAACACCAGTCGGTCCATGTTTTTGAACCACTACAAAATAACACAAGGTTAATAAAACATAAGATGAACCCAAAACTTGGAACTTGCCCAAAC